TATCTCCGAGCTCATCTATCTACTGGTACATCCCTAAGAACACCATCAGGCTGCAACTGCCCTCAGCAGCTACACATCAGACCTCCAATCCTGCACCTCTCACCCATTAGCATTTAGCTCAGGCCCTTACCCTCACTCCTTGCTTGAGCTATGTTGTATTAACACATTGCCTAATTTACAGTCTGCTACCTATGGATTCTTTAGTGATCACTGCACTGTGGGCTGAACCTGGTAGCATGGGCAGACCCGCTCTTCTGTTTTGGCTAAGGCAGGATTGCCTCATTGCCTCTGAGGTTACTGCTCCTGCCTGCCTTGCCATGACCCTCAAACCTACTCTGTCACCAAGGCTTTTCAGCTCTCCTTCACTGAGACCTGCAGCCTTGACTGTTTTTTTGAGGCACTGTCTGTTGGATGCAGAACTTCATGCATGCATGAAATGGCCTGCTCTAGGCTCTCAGCTTGGCAACATAGGCAGGAAGCTCTGCCAGCAAGAAATAGAACAGGAGGTACCTTTAGAAACCTGGTTCCATAACCACTCTGGACTCATCCAGGGCAGATGTTGTCCTGCCCTGGGCAGGGGCAGTGCAGCTCAGACTTCATTCAGCTGCTCTAATGGGGAGAAAGAAACCAAGAATCTTATGCACATCCACAATAAAACATTTTCTTATTCTCTGAGCTCCATGTTGAGCAGGTTTTCCGGGGTGCACACATTTAGCTACATGTGACCTGGCCTTTTTTTCCCCAGTTCTCATGCTGCCCTGGGACAGTTGGCAAGACTGCAGAAGTTCTTACCCTCTCTTCGGAGAATCTGATGTGGATGCCTGAAAGGTGCATGCTGAAGTTTTTAAAAATGCTGCAAAATTTCATAATCATATGAAATAAATATAAAATATTTACAGGCACAAACTTGTAACTAACTGAAAGCAGTTGACACAGTTTGCAGCATTACAGATAAGCTGTAAGACTCCCTACTGAGTTCCCAGTCCTCTCATGCCTGTGTTTCAGCCCTTCTGGGCATTTATACACTTTTTCATCAACACAGATACTCTCAAGTGAGGCAAAAGGTTAGTTCAGTTCACTCTAATGTGTTTGTTTTCACCCTGATGAAGACTTTGGGCTTTTTTTTTAAAGTAGTAAAGTCCAAAGTCTATGCTAAATAAGTAGATTAAATTTGTTGGTATTCCTCTGAGCTGTGCATCTTAAACAGGCTATTTTGGCATTTAGAGGCTTAGAATCGATCTCGGAACACTCAGCTTTCTTTTGGTTTGTGGTAACATTTTGATTCTGGGAGAAAAATGTTAAGATCACAATTTGACGTAAATGGAACAGATAATTTGTATTTGCATCATTAAAAAAATCACCCTCTACATAATTATTATAAAGAAATAGTAATTCTTCAGTTTAGAGGAAATTATGAAAATAAAATAAAAAACATGTAGTATAACTTACTCAGCCAAAATAGGGCAAGAATCCAGCTGCAGCAAAACAGCACAAGTGGTAAGTGACCTTACAGAACAGAGTGTCCAAGAGCTGTGCTCTGAAATCAGATTAATCTGTTTTCTCCTTCAGACTTCGGCATGGAGTTGTGAATGCTTTGCTCGGATGTAATCCTCTGAAATACAACTGTTCTTTAGTAACATGAATAATCCCACTGTTCTTGTTAAAATAAGGATTGCTTATGTGAATAACCCATGGGAACTGCATCCTCAGGAATAAAGGCAGATAATATGGGAATGAAAGGCATATTTTTGTAATTAATATTATGGAGGTATTTAAAACACAACCTCAAAAGCTGAAAGAGTGGGCTAAACCCCTGTGTTTGATCTTACATATGCATAAGGTGAGTATAATATTTAACTACATGGGTGTGCAAGTAGAGTAACAAACTGGTGAAACACATCCTTGGCTCTGAAAAAAATCAAAATACGAAGATGGCTTTGTTTGCTTCAAACACTATCAGGTTTTAAAAGATCTGTCAGTTTAGCTCTGTGTGTGGGAGGAGTTGGGGAAAGCAGTGTTTTGCAAATACCTTCAAATATACTTGAAATACCAGGACTTGTTCTCACTTAAAGATTTTTAATTTCTTTTGCTAAGGATATTAATTTGGATTTAATCTTGTTGCAATTAGGAAGATGTTAGCTTTACTGAACCATCACTTATAACCACCTTCAGCAATCTAGACTCTCACCATGATAGATGTTTGCATGAGTGAAACCATGTCTGCACCTGACGCTTAAATAGGACTAATTCCCAACAATGTTAAGGTCAGGTTTCTCCCACGTGGAAATGCTGGCATCTTTGTGTTCTCCCTTGCTTTACTCCACTGCTCTGCAACTCTAAGCTGCTCCTAGTATTGCTCTAAATATATTAAAGGGAATAGTATTTTGACAGCCTAATTTAGCAAAGCAAGAACAATGCTCTCTACGACGAAGAAAAAGCACTTTTCAAGCTTAAGGACATGCTCCCTGCAAATCATTAAACGTTTCCTGCAAATGCACCATGTATTAGAGCTTCTCAAAGAAACAGATCAAAAATTTTGGTAACTGTATGTTTGTGTCAGCCTCAGGGTAGGGATATGCCCCAGGACCCCCAGCACTGTGCAATACTGTCAGCATTGAAAGTAAATCAAGAAAAGGGACCTGAGATTCTCTAACATTGCAAAACAGATTAACGCTGAAGTTTCGTGTTGATACTTCTTTGTTGGACGGTCTGGTTCAACGAACGCTGCCTTTAACCGCTCATTCCTCTTCCCTTCAGCCTCTAGAGTGTATCTTGCCTTGATTGTGCTCATTCAGTTGTTTGTACAACTCCAGTTTCTCAGTCAGATTAAACACGGCCAGAGGCCGGATAGTTGCTGCCCTCTCTTTCTGCTGCTGCTTCTGTGTCAGTTCTGCAGACCCTTCTGCTGCAGATGAACTGGATCAGAGACCTGCTTCCACTGAAAACTGACCTTTACAGAAGAATTGTGGTCAAGGTCTAGCACCCACACAAGGAGAAGGATGGAAATAGGAGGATGGCACAGGGTGGAATTTGGGACTGACTTTTCATAGCACTGCACAGTCAAACTGGCTCAATCTGGTTGTGAAACTGCAAAGGAAATGGGACATGTGAAATGATCCTTTTCAAAAGCACCTTCAAATTTTCAGCTTTTTTTTTTTTTTTCCCCCACTGACCTACTTTGCAGCAGTTACACAAACAACTGCATCAGCACATGCAAGGATGTGCTGAGCTGTGGTACAAAGATCTGTCACCACAAAGCAACTGTGGAGACAGTAAGCTTTTTAACCTGAATTGCTGCCAGAGGAAATTTTCATAGTGTTATGTGGCATGACCAAAGGGTTGGAAGTTGTCCAAAAGTCAAGCAAGGAAATACACACCCTAAAATCTCATAATGAATGGTTCTCAAATCATTGCCCACCTCTGTAATATATGCAAATCATGTTTAAAAGGGATAAAATCAAAAACTCTCTAGGAGTACCTAACTTTTGCTTCTGTTTAGTGTGTTCTGACTTCTAAAGACTGCATTTCCAGACTACCACATCTTACACTGGAATTCTGGGACACATTTTTGCAGTGGGAGCTCAGGCTGACCACTGCAATGGTTTGCTG